CATTTACATCATTAATTTCTGGTGGAGATACAACCATTTGACTTTTTTGTAACCCTTCTTGAGGTCTAAAACATCATCCCTTTCATAATGCTCTTCATCACCAATAGTAATATCACCTTCATCACAGTCTTCATCATTAACAGCAGACTCACTTGAAATTGAATACAACAATCTATAGAACATTCTGGAGTAGAGATCAATGCCAAGAAAGTGACTTCAAGATTTTTGAATTTCATAAGCATGAACTAAAACACCATAAACAGTAACTTGACTTGGTGCCATACCAGCAATGAGGGCATTGTGTTGGTCAATCACAGTGCATGATCAATACTTTGAATGTCTCTAGGGCGAAGACCTGCTATGAAAAACCTCATTTAAGAAGTGGCAATGCAGATAAAGTAACCCCGAAAATCTCAGCCCAATTGTTATAAATGTATCAACAGAAAACCACAAGGATTAAAAAGGAAAAAAATACAATCAGGATGAGCATGCAGGTGCTTATGAAGGCAGCTGGAACATCAGGGATTTATGAGAAGTCACATGGGCTCGTCATAAAGTGCTACATTGAAACAGAAAAGTGCAAGTAGCAGTTAAAACTTTATGCAGCAGAAAATTCAACAGAAGTTAGTGGTCAGGTTGAAGATCGAATAGAAGAATTGGGGTTGTTTCTATATTGGCATGCTAAGAGTTCAAAATTCATGGTGGTTATCTTTTACTTGGGTTGGGGATTAATCTTAAACAAGAACGATACAATAAAAAGTTTGTGCAATACTCAATCAATTCCACCTGTTTTTATAATGTGGCACACAAGTAACACACCTATCAAGAAGGCAAATTTAACAGTTCATTTAACAGACTGTATTAGAAGGCAAACACTTTTACCTTTCAGCTCATCTGTGACTGTACACAAATAACCTTGTTGATTAAGATATCAATTAACATATTCACATAAGAAGATAAAAGTTCCTAAAAAGCTATGATGTTCCCATACTATGGAAAAGATGATCATATGTAAAATAAAAAAATGATTCACCACCAGATAAAAGTTTGCATTAAAGCCATAAGTTATGCCCTGCTCATTGAGAGTTTCTCTCTTCTTTGAATAATCGAAGAGAAGAAAAAGTTGAAAGATTGGGCCAGTTGACGATGTTGAGAGACTCTAGAGTGAAATCGCAACAACTTTCAAAAACTTCAAATACACGTGTCACTAAAGCCAAAAACAATAGAGTTTCAAGTAGACAACCTGACATCAAAAGGGAAAAACAAGAACTGCATTTGGAGACTTCAGGTTCATCACATGAGGCTGGAATGAAGAATTGGGAAGAAAATCCTACAGAAGTTAGTGGTCAACTCGAAATCAAAGTGTTTATGTCAATGGAAACGCCCCTAAAAGATAAAATGAGAATAAACTTTTGAAATCAAACTGAGAAATCAAAAAATTGTTGGAACCGAACCTGAGAAATCAAAAATTACAGGAACCGGATGCTGCGGCGGACGGCTGGTGGTGCGGCGACGATGGACGGTGGTGCGGCAGTGACCGGTGGTGAGGAATGGTATAGGCCGGCGAAATTGAGTGAGGGAGAGGGGAGGATGGAAGCGACGATCTTTTGATAGTTTTAAGGTTTTTTTTTTAATTTGTTTGGTTTACCTGCTAACCAGGTTACAAGTTATATTTTTAAAGAATGATGACCTATTTAACAGGTTTAAGAAAGTTTAAGGATTTATTTAACAAATTTTCAAAAGTCCAATGACTTATTTGTTCCAAAAAATTGTCTAGGGACTTAATCAATCAAAACAATAAAGTCCATTGGTTTTTATTAGACTTTTCCCGTATATAAAATATGTAATACGAAGGGTAGGAAAGAGAATGAAAACCATAAATACTTTGATGACTATTAAAAAAAATATATATATATATATATATATATGTATATGTGTGTGTATGAACACATACATTGATGCAAATATCAAAATATGTGTATGTGAATTAGTATATTCATTGATGTATATGTATTATACATACATTGGAATATAAACTTAAGATTGTGTGAGAATAAAAATTAGGATGAGAAGTGTAAGAAGAGATTTTGACTATTTATTATTTTTAATCCTAAAACAAAGGATTTGTTTCATATATATTTGATTCACAATGTGTAACCTTTTTACATGTACTTTTTGTTTCACAAATACGTAAAAGATGTTCACATTGTTAACCGAGTACATGTGAAACAAATACATTGTGAAATAAATGTATGTTAATCAATATTCTAAAATTTAGTCTTAAATGAAAAAAGAAAATCATATGAAATAACACATGATGCACAAAGTTCTCAAAGTTATCACAATTTCATGGGTTCTCAAAAGAAAGTTTCCTTGATAAATATAAATCAAATATAGGATAAACATCTTACTTTAAATATAAAAAATCTAAAATATAATTAAAATCATCATTGAGTTATGATAGAATATTTAATTATTATTTTTATAAAAAAACATTATATTATTAAACCTAAAATAAATTACTACGTTATTAAATTCAAATTAAAACATAATAAAAAGAATTGAATTAAATAATTTATATAAAAAAACAAGAACTTTTAAATTGTTAATTTGATAATAATATTGATATCATTTTTTTTCAAATTTGTATAGGGTCACCAAATTTATATTTTATTCAAACATAAAAACATTATCACTCATACAAAAACCATATAAAACCGTATTATAAAATGACAAAGACAAAATAAAACAGAACACTAAAATCGAGATGTATCGAGCTGCATTGTGCGAGTATACTTCTAGCATTATTATGAATGTTAAAGTATACTAATTTTTAACAAACGTAATTAATTCATCAACTAGTTTATTAGCTAACAACTAGCTTATCAACTTATTTATCATACATAACCGTAATTAATACGAATAATTAAATAAATGATTTATTTAAATCACCTTTTACCTATTGCTCATAGTTTTTTGTCACACTTTCTTTTAATTTTACATTAAAATAAAATGAACCTTTGAAGTATAAAATGGTTGAATGATTTTATAACCCATGACTTAGAATGGTTACAAAACACACACAAATATAATAATTAAATAGATAAAATTTGTAATAGAGTGACCAATCCAACCAACACCAACCGAGTTCATTAACTCAGTGATTATGAGTCACAATTTACTACTAACAGAATATAGCTTTTAATTGTTAAAAAAAATACGATTATTATCTGTACAAGAAATAAATAATAATCATTCTTGAGTGATCACATGCTTGCATGATATTAGTGACCGACACTCGGGCTTGGGCCAAAGTATTTAAGTCCCCTAAGTGACTCAACACTTGCAAACCCGTGCCTTATTCCAGAACCTGCTCCATCTTTATTGGCACCCAGAGAAAAACGATAAAGAAATCAATTAATCTCATATAGGCAACCAACGGTATTCAGAATACTTAATGGTCGAGCAGCCGTTACAAATGCTAAACCAAGTAAAACGAAAAGGGTAAGGAAAATTTCAAACTCTTGCCACGTTTAACATCTCTGTATGAGGAGAGGGGACGTTAGAGACTTCTGGTTGTGGTTTATGTGTAAAAACGAAAAGCTTTTTGGTTCATATTTACAGACCAAAAAATAGAAGAATTTGGGAAATGTATATTTTAGAGTAAACTGTAAATTTGGTTCTTGTGGTTTGTTGAAAATAATACTTTTCTATCGTATAGTTTCAAAATTACAAGATAGCTATTGTGATTTGTAAAAACGTTCAATTTGGTTCCTTTCTCTAACAATTGTTAAAAAAAACTCTGTTAAATGAGAAACATTTTCATTATTTTATTGGTTTTCCTGTCTTTTACCCAATGAAAATTGATTTTATAATTTAGGTCCCTGTGGTTTTTGAATGGGTAAAAGACAAAAGACACCCTGATAAAATAGTGAAAATGTCTTTCATTTAACGGATTTTTTTAACAATCGTTAGAGAAAGGGAACAAATCTGAACGTTTTTATAAACTGCGATGGCACATTGTAATTTCAAAACTATAGGATGGTGTCTGTTTGGTTTGAGCTTGGACTCCAAACATCAAAAATGCTTGGAGGTCAAAGTTCAAATCCAAGAAGAAAGAAAAATCCCCTTGTGGCCACAAATGTTCAAATACGGTGACTCCGGACTACCCGCAAAGCAGGTGGTCGTCCTAAGATTAGTCAGTTCGCATACCGGATTAGATATCCAGATTAATCAATAACCAAGTTTATAGTTTAATCTATATTTTACAGGTAAATGTAGTAGTAGTTGCGAGTCTAAATTGGAGAAATAGATAGGAAAAGAATTATCTGTTAAAATAAAATTGCAATTATTTTAAAGATATTTAATTCAATTGGTTTTGAAAGATCGACTATACATAGTGTAATAAAAAATCACTCTTCATAAAGACTCGCAGAGGATGGCCATTTTCTTCACATTGTAATAATTATCTAATACTATATTATAAAGTATTTGATAAAAACTCTTAAAAATCATATTTTATGTGTAGAATACTGTTTATTAATGCATGTTACTTAAAACTCAAGATTGCAAGTGAATTATGCGTAAGTACAACTTATTAAAGCTTCATATCTGAATTCATGTAACTAACTGCTAATAAACATCTCATTGTAAATCTAAAAAATCTAAAATATAATTAGAATAATCATTGAGTTCTAACATAATACTTAATTATTATCTTTCTAAAATGTTATCTATACTATATTATAAAACATTTGACAAAAACTCTTAAAAACCATTTTTTTATGCATAAAGTACTGTTTATTGATGCATATTATTTAAAATTTAAGATTACAAGTAATTTTGCATTAATACAACTTATTAAAACTTCATTTTGAAATTTGTGTAACTAACTGCAGATAAACATAATCAAATATAGGATAAACATTCAATTAAAATAAAATAAAAAAATCGAAATTATAATTAAGATAATAATTGAATTCTAACAGAATGTTCAATTATTATCTTTATAAAAAATTACATTATTATCTATACTATATTATAAGCATTTAATAAAAACTCTTAAAAACTAATTTTTATGCATGAAGTACTGTTTATTGATGCATATTACTTAAAATTTAAGATTACAAGTAATTTTGCATACGTACAACTTATTAAAACTCCATTTTAAAATTCGTGTAACTAATTGCAGATAAACATAATCAAATACATAATAAACATTCATTTTAAATATATAAAAAAATCTAAATTATAATTAAGATAAACATTGAATTATAATAAAATGTTTAATTATTATCTTTATAAAAAATTATATTAGTAAAC